CTCACTCTGTTCTAGGGAGATACAGCTCTTTTCTTGGCAAAGAGTAAATATGCATCCAAAGCATGGCTTATGTTTAGGACAAAAAGAGGAAAAAAAAACCAAAACTATTTTTGAGCTATGTGTATTCGTGGGCATTTTTTTCTAAAAGTTTCTAGGGAAGGCTCTGACTCATAATTTCATTTCATTAGTCATAGTAACCTGTTAACAACTCTAATAAATTACTGGTATCAGACACCCAGACTTCACTCAGTCATTGCTCTAGAAGGTGGTGGAACAAATGCTGCAGCTGAGCAATGCAATAATAGGGGTAGATTTATTTGTTAGTAATATTTTGGTATTACATTCTGATGGAAACTCTGGTGCCAAGAATTGTCTCAGGCCTCAGCCTATCCATTCATGTGTTACCTGCAGTGGTCAGGAAGACAGGTTCTGCCTTACTGTCTGACCAGCATAAGGAGGCTTTGTGAGCATCTGCCTGTTTCTACTGCAGTCAGAATAAAGGAAATCATTTAACAGGGTGACAGTTCTTTCATGTCCTCTTGTGAAGGTTTTCTTTCTTTACAGATTTTTCCTAGATAATCTAGGAATAATGAAACAGTGTGCATACACTGAAGCAAGTAAGCTGTTGTTCCTGAGGCAGTAATACCTTGATGTATTATGGATCTCTTAGGATCTCTTCTTCAGGAGATTCTGATTATGCTGCTTGTCACAAAAAATATTTTTGTCAAACCAAGTTTTGTAAAACAGGAAGAAAAGACAGTTCCAAGATTTCTTCTGTTAATAATAAAAGCATCCATCAATGTGGAAATATATTAATCCAGTAAAGAATAAAGGCTTTATTTTCTACTTTTTAGAAATTACTCTTTTCTCTGTGGCACTAAAAAAGAAAAAATTAAAATCAGAGTCTTTCTCTGTTCATTGTATTAAATGAATGGCCACTAGGTCTAATATGCTTTGATAAACACTTTAGTAACATTAATTAATAAATGTTACTTAATGTTAATGAATTAATAATGACAGTGGGCTTTAGGGAGGTAGTTAACTAAAGATGCACTGCAAAAATGCCATTCTACAATCTCTTAGGGCAGTAACATGCAGAGAAATTAATCTCAAAGGGAGAACAATTTCTTGGCACTGCTAGTGCTTTCCTTTTTGGTAGATAAATGGTCAGCTGTGCTGTTATCTAACCTAATGCCATCTTCCCCTGAGTGCAGCACAGTTGTTCAGGGCCCTTGATGAAGTCCCCAAGTCGACTGCCTTCAGTGTGTGATTTGTTTGTCCCTCTGCCCTGGCTCACACACAGTATCCAGCTGTGTGGGACCGGGCAGCAGGTAGGAAATGCACTTTGGAAAGCAACCTCCCCTTTTTAATGGTAAAGGCTGGCATGGTTCAGGTGGGTGAGAGAAGGCTCAATTCTGAGCTGCATTACTCCTCTGCCCATGGAAGTGCCCAGCTCCCACCTCCACCAGTGCAATTCAGGCTGTCAGACCCTTGGGTATCCATCCCATTGTTCACTTGCTGTTTTCTCTTAGCAGACTGGTGTGTGCTGGCAGGGAACAAAACCTGAGATCTCACCCAAGTCAAATTCCCTTAAAAACTGGGCAGTGCTGCTGCTCTGGGGGCTCTTTGTGCGTGTGCCACGCACTGAGCTGTGCACACGCTGAGGTGTTGAGGAGGGGCTGCACACAGGATTGCCAGTCCTGGTTAATCAGGGCTGTGGTTTACCCCATGCCCTTGAAATCACAGTGATGACCCCTTTTTACACCTCTTGTTTCATGCAAAGCCACCCCATACTCAGAATTTCTCATAACCCAGTTAAGCATAGGTTTTATTGAACTCTGAATGGCTCAAACGCATAATTCTCAAAACCTCATAATTCTCAAAACACAACTGAGCGCTTTTTCAAACTTTAATGTAAAGTCTAAAGCAACCTGGATTAAGAACTTCAGACAAGATCTAAAATAACTGTGGTTTTCACCCAGTGTAACAGCATTACACTTCTATTTCTTTCACTTTCTGTTACTGTTAACATTAGATGCAGGTTGTCAGGTTTGGTTTTATCTGGGATTTCAGTCCTTTCTTTAGGACCTATTATTTTATTTAGCAGGCAAGTGTCTAGCACTCTTTACTGTGTAACTACTAAAATAATAATAATATGAACTGTGATTTTCATTGTAGGGTTTTATATTTTGCTTGTTGCTTCAGAATGAATAATTAATTTTTAAGCTGTGGAAACTCTTTAAAAATTAAATTAGCTGAGGAATCATGCAAACCACAAACTATATCTACATCAGATATTTGACCAATACTTCTTTTATAGGTTTTCTTTTTTCGTGTTTTTCTGGTTTATTGCATGCAAAATCTCTGAAATGTGGTTTTTCTCAACTGCTGTGAAAACAAACTAATTCTAAGCAGTGTTTCAAACAATTGCTGAGGGTGGTGTAAGTCCATAACCAGACCTCACAATTCAGAAGGAGATGCTGGTAAAAAAAACTACCCCATAACAGCTTGCATGATTTTTTGCACATCTTTACTATCAGCCTGAGTTTTGCCTTGTATTGATGAAGAGCTCTTTCCAAATCATCACCACTCTGTAATTGTTACTTGCCTCTAACAAATGGACTTCCATTGTCAGAGGAAATCTTCAGTAGCTGTGTCAGTGTCTGTGGATCTACATCTGTTGGACTATTTTAACCAACGGCACAAGACTCCTGGAGCCAGGTGTATTTTGGTACCTTGCTACGTTGCTGATTTCATTTTTAGCTGGGAGCACCTGTCCATACTTCCTGATCTTTCTACCAATTAGGGGTGCAAACAGTTACAGCAACACTTGCCCAGCAATGTTATTCCTTGCTGGAATCTCTGTCACATTACGATTGGAGGATGTTAGGAAACTTGATGATTTGACAGAAACATTTGAAGTAAAGCTTTGTACAAGATAATACAATTGGAAAGATTACCTGATGCTGAATTAAGATCAGCACTTCACACTTGACTCCCAAAATAAATAACATTTTTTTCAGATTTGAATTTGCCCTGATGGGGTGAAAGGAGGAAGAAACATTTGCAAGGAATAGTTTTGATGGCACCACTTGTCTACTTGTAAAATTGCTTTAGAAGCTACAGCTCTGTCACTTGTTCATGGTGGTACTAGGCATAAAATGAGTGGAGAACTATTGCAATTTCCTTAGGAGGTTCAGTGTTCTATTTTTATTAGATTTTCCTTTATAAATATGACCGTATCCCTACTGAAGCTGGTAAACAGTAAAGTGAAGGAACTAGGTAAATTAACCCTTGGTATTAGCGATGTGGCTGCACTTGGAGCAGCTGAAATTCACCCTGTCCTGAGTGCCATCTCCCCTTGCCTGGCCCTGCCAGCGAGCCTGTTGACCCGCTGCTTGGCTGGGCTTCGGCTTATCTCCTGGCCTGACAGGCTTTATTCCTTCTGGCCTAGCTCAAATTCACTGGGATGGTTCTTTTGCACTTTGAGATAACATCAGCCTTTGATATTCTGCTAAAGTAGAGATCAGGTTTCAGGTGTTAAAATATTCTGGGAAATGATTTTTTGGTTCTGGCAGTCCAATCACAAGCCCCAGTTAAAAGGAAGAGCCACTTTAATCATCCTCCTGGATGCTGCTGAATGGGCAAATCGTTCTTCCTTAATTAAGAAGTGATAATATCACTCTTCAGTAATGGAGCTGAACATTGCTGCCATCTAGAATGAAATTTGCTAAGGAAAAAAAGAATTCTCCCAGTTTTGTAGTTCTGATCCTGTTACTGTGGTGACCGGTGAACAATTTGTTTAACCATTTTCTTGCTTCTGCATAATCTAAAATATTTAATGATTGCTTTAATGTCAATCAGTGTCACAGCTTTTGCTCTTCAACAGTTTGAAGGGAACAGAACTTTATTGTCCTTAAGTGTAACTAACAAAAAAGTTAGTAATTACTGTGACTGCAACTCCCCATAAAGGCAAATGTAATTGTAATTCTACCCTTACGAGTATCTAAGGGTAGAATTTTGCTTTAAGCTGTTAGTCTGTTACTTAATAAAGTTCCAATTTTGTGACTTTAATTCATGCTCATTTAAACCAGCATAGTTTCAAGTTAGAAAATACTACTAAATGTTCAGTATATGTCATATAAAACATTAATTGGATTTACAAATTCTCCCAAATGTGTGGTAATGAAAATTAGTGTTTTTGAGTGTTTTTGTTTTCTTAAAGGCTCTCAGCTGAGAAAATTTTGAAAATTTGTTTCTAAGATTTGTAAATAAAAGCTTTTTCTTAACATTTGAAATTCCATCTTAAATTGTGTAGAACATTCAAAAAGGCCATTAAAGTAAGAGGAGAAGATGTATTTGACAAATAATTACAGAATTATGTCTATGCAACAGGAAAAGAGTCTTGTAATGGAAAAGTTAAAGAGTAAATATGCAAATTTGTTTAGCATATGTATGGAAAAATTACAGATGATCTGAACTTGTAAATCAGATCTAAAACATATGAATCTGATGTTCATCATTTTTCTTTTATAAGGATTAGGACTTTCTTCTGTCATTTGCAACTTGGATAATTTTTTGTTTGTCCCTTTAGTGTCTTGACAATTCATCAGAAAAAGGACATAATTGATCAAAAAAGCATCTTTAGATGCACAAGATGCAGTCAGTGTTTTAAACAGCAGGATGCAGACAATCCTGATCTGAGGCAGAGCTAGCAAACAGCCTCAGACCAATTAATACATTTGGGGGGAGGAGTTGCAGTTCTTATGGAAAATCAAGTTGGTTAAAATGGGAAGTGTGCCCAACAGAAAGAAGCAGGTTCTTTCTTCTAAGTGTTTGTGTAGGTGTGAAATATTTCCCTCCAGCTGCTCTAACCACTTCAGACAGCTGGTTTTTTGAGTAAGAGGATGAGTGTTGAACTTTTCCACAGATGTACTATTATACTCTAGTTAACAATCGAATAACCTATTCAGTGCTTCTTTTATTTTGCTTTTCTGTAGACAAAACATGGATGCACACTCCTGAAGCCTTATCAAAGCATTATATTCCCTATAATGCAAAGGTAAGAAAAAATGAAGTTATTTTCTCCTCATACTTTTAGAATGCAGCACATTCTATCTTGTTTTTGACTTGGAAGATTGCAGAGACGTAGATTTGCCAGATGAAATAATGAAGACAAGCTTAATAAATGTCTGTTTTGCAGGTGAAAATGTTCTGTTTTTAATGGCCAGTTGATTCTTGTTCTGAGCTGTGGTTTACAGAAAGCAACCTAGTGTTCCTTCTCTGCTTGATGATGTTTTTGTAAATGGATGGAAGTTTTGAGTGCAAAGGAATTTAACATCAGGCTGCATGCTTACAATATTGTTAAAATTAATGACAAAAACTTCTTTTAAACAATATCAAAGGCAACGAGTAACAACCCTTTCTGCTGGATATATTATGTCAAATACTCTGGAAATGTGATAGAACAATAATGGCATTTTTGCACCACAAAGCCAGGAGCCTTACTTTAATTTTCTTATCCCAATTACAGAGAGGTAAGTTTATGTAAGTAATGGTTCCATTTGTCTAATGACATCACTTGGCAGGAAATGCATCTTACCTAAATACCTGAGAACCTAAAGGTTCCTAAATACTTACCTAAATACCAGCTTAAAAGATAGTCTACTAAAAGGAGGAGAAAATATACAGCCATCAGCATAACTCATAGTAGACTGAGTAATGAGCAATTATTCGCTTAAACTGAGAGTATAATTTAATATAATTATATTGTGTGCTGTTCTGGATGGTGTTCTCTTATGATTGGTATTTCTTAATATAAAAACCTTTCTTAAAATAGTCTTAATAAAAATAAATGTGAAAATTCTTTATATAAATATATATACACCAAAATATTTCTTTCACAGGCCAGGGTTCAGGTTTCTACAAGTGTTCCCTGCTTTTGTATTTGCAATTTTCTTTTGCTTAGCATTGCCACACAGTGAGCAAGTGTTTGTAGTGGAAAGTGGAGTCTCTTTCTCACAGTTGCCAGGTTTTGAAAGTGTTTTCATTCTATGTTCTCCAACTGAATTTTTGTCCAAAGGATGTGTTACCCTTTAACTGAATAGCCTTGCCAAACACCTTGGCTTTATATTACACTTCTTCAGAGGGAGGATTACTTGCTGTGGTGACTGTGCCATGTCTTTTAAAAGCAAGCTGAAGCCAGCTTTTTTTCAAAGCACTGAACAGTGTCTGTTCATTTCTGGTCTTTGAGAGAAAAAAAGAAGCCTCCCTCGTCTCTCGTGTTTCATTGTCTTGCCTAAGAGCAGATCTGGTGAGTAGGTGTCAGTGCAGAAAAAGAATTAGAATAAAGAGGATGGTGCTAAGATGGTGGTAACTGTAGAAACAACAGCATCAGCAACTTCTGGAGCAGAAGAAAAGATTGGAGAATTCCAGTCTAAAGGAAGTCTGCTCTCAGACTAGTTAGGAAGACTCTTGGTCCAAAATGTCTTTCCACTTATTTAGGCTGATATGTGCCTAAGTGTCCTCTCCAGTTCTGCTCCTGTTTGTTGTTTATTCCAGGGCCTACTCCACCTTTGTGGTGGCCTCTAAGGTCTGCCAGAACAGTTGTAGGAAACTGGGACTTTAATGCCATATATGCTGGGTTTTAGTTTTGTTTTATTTATTTATTTTTGAAGAAAGTTAACCCATTTTTTCATTTGGATCACAGTAGAAAATTCTTATTTAGAACTGTCAGTCATTTGATTCAAAGCAAGCAAAAAATTGCTCCGCTCTGTAACTGGAGTGCAAAGGGATTCCTTACCCTGTTTATTTATTTACACCTGGAAGAAATTCACAATGCTTTTGTGAACTTAGCTGGCATATGCAGGCATAACAACAATAAATCTAGATGATATTTCCACCTCAGTTCTCAAGTATCATTCTCATAAAGTCTTGCAGTATTTTTCACTGGAAGAGCAAGTTATGTATCTATCAGTACCTTATTTGGGGTTTGCAGCATTTTGGGTTTTAAGTGAAATGTCTTATTGATTTGATAACTTGTAACTGTGTTGTGAAATAATGATTAAAAGCTTCAGAAAACCTTCATAACACAAGAATTGAACAAGACTCATTGTTTTTTGCCCAAACTGTTCCAATTCTCTAACACTCAGTTCATGTATCTTCCATGTTTGTTGGGAAGACAACATTGATCCGATTTATTTTAAAAAGTAATCATGTGAGTGAAGAATGATGTGTTCAGAAAATCAAATCAGTTTGATGGAAAGTAATACCAGAGATGTTATTTGTCCATGAGCAAGTGAGCTGTATTCTACTCCAGTTTTTTGGATGCAGATTAGTGTGGATGGAAAAGTGGTTTCTGTTCTTCATAAGACACAAAAATAGTTTCTCTGACACTAATCTGAGATGATCAGAACACGGGCAGAGCTTACTGGGAAAGATGAGGTTTTGTTGATTCCTGAGACAGCTCGTTGATAAAGCAGAGTTCATGAGTTGACTGTCATTTTTTTAAAAATCCTAGCAAAGTTAACTGGAAATTAAAAGAATCCTGCAATTTGACAACTGGCCTTTTTGCTCTACTAAATGGAGAGGACCTTTTTAACTGAGAATTAGTAATGTCATGTTATCTCTTAGAACATGCACCCTCAGGATGATTTATGACCATAATCCTCTTTGCAAGGAAACATGAGCTGAGTTTTTTCTTCTGCAAGTAAAATCCAGGAAACAGGAGTCTCCTAAGGAAGCTCTAAAATATAAAAGTGTCTTGAATTTCTCTTTCTTTTTCAACACACCCACTCCTACTTACTGTTTTGAAATTTGCTGATTTTGGCAAATTTTTCCACCGTGTAAACCAATGAGGATTTGGGCTCTGGGGTTTTTTATTTGTGGGGGGTGGGTGGGACAGGACTGGGGTGTTTATTTTCCGTCTTCAGTTTTGTTTTGTTTGCTTTTGTTCTGCTACTGTCATTTTTTGTGCTTGTTTAGTGGGTTTTTTTGGGTCCTTTTTCTTCCCCCTTATCTTACTGATATCCTGGTCTACCAGAAGGCACTGATAATAAGATTCCTCGCCTTTCAGCATGTTCTGGATATGCAACCTTGGTTTAGAGAAGCCGTAATTCTGACATCAGTTTGTGGTGCTATATTTTTTTTATCTGTGTCACTACAAATGAAAGCATATTGCTCACACTTTTTTTTTTCCCCAGAAAGATAATTTAGACTTTTTATAATACAGTACCAAATATTGACACATTTTGATATGGTGGCATGACAGTTTTAATATCACCCAATTATAAAATTCTAAGGCAACCCCAAACTTCTCTGTGTTAATTTTTTTCTGTAATGGTCCTTAAAATTAAGAAGAGATGTTTGTGTTATTTTTTGTACTGTAAAGAAAAAGCTCTCTTTTGCCCTTTAGGCAATTCTTTTGATTTGAGGCCAGCTTCCTTTCTGCAAAATGAAAGTGATCAAAATGTGACTTTATAATGGAAAAACACTGCAGCCTTTAAAAAAGAGCTGGTGGTTGTCATCCCCTGAGTGGTGCCTTTCTGCCAATCAAAAGCTGCCCCAACCAACCATATTTACTATGTCTCTCTGTAGTAATTGTGTCTGTAATCCCCTTTAGAGTCACTTATTTTTTTGGCTTATATCAGACTTCCACATGCATAGCTTTCCATTTTGCAGACGAGAGGTTGTGCTTTGCCAGCCTGGTGTTTATGTTGGCAGCTGGCAAGGCAGGGATCAGTGGCTCTGACCTTGCACGAGGCAGAAGGGCTGCTCTTTTCCATGGCAAGTGATGGCACATTAAACTCTTGGGAAGGTGTCTCACCAAGAGATATCACAGCCCCCCCGTGCTCACTGGCCTAATGCTCGCTTCACACTCACTTTCAGAGTTTTTATATTGTCAGCTGCAGATTTGATTCTTGATGTAGTAGTTTCAATTTGAAAGCTTAGAGTTAAAAGAACAATGGAAAAAAAGGAATTTAGTAATGATCACACGTTATTATCTGGAAGGTCTTTTCTAACCCAAATGATTCTGTGAGTCTGTAATAAAAGACCTCCCTTGGCCATACATAAAGCTCTCAGTCTTCACTGTAGGACAATACAGTTTATTTAGATTCTCAACTATGTGCCATTTCTTATTCCGTGTGTTTTTTATCACTATTGAATGGCAAATAAACTCTTGTGGAGCAGACATTTTGGTCAAATGATGTCACTGTGGTTGCAGGGCTCTAGGTGCAGTTCTGTCTTTTGAATATCTGCATTTTGCTATCATTAGTGTACAGTGTTATCAAAGCCACATTTTTTGTGGCCTAAACTGCACTTCTACTACAATTTTTTTTTTGCTATTGCTATAGAAATTCTCTTCTTCTATCCAGTCAGCATTTCAGCAGAATGATCATGACTGTGTCATTAAAAGTAATGAAAAAATGTCAAATGGCAAATTGTATGTAGCTTTCCCAAGTCAGCAGAGTTACAAGGCACACTATTTAAGATATGTGGTGAAGTTTCCTATCCTGAGCAAGTTTTAGGTTTCCTTTGTATCCAAGCAGTTTCTTTCTCTCACATAAATTGCCACACATCCATTTATTTAGCAGCCTACATAAAGAATAATAATTTATACAAAAAAAAAAATAACCTAAAGAATGTCCCTAGCACATGTTGGGTCTCAGGTGCTATGTTGCTCACCAATGTGCCCTGTTAATCCCACCATCCACATAAATCTTCCATGCCAGAGAAATGAACACCACAGAATCCCCTGCTGTGGATTTTCCAACGCAGCCAAAACAATATGCATACTTAGGAAACCAAAACTTGTAGTAAAAGGTTGCAAAAAGCTTTGAGCCAGAAAGAAGTTCACCATGCATCTATAAACTATATCCCAAACAATCCAGAAGTAACAGAAATTTCAGGGGCTTCACATTCCAGCCCTTTGCAACTGATTTCTATGGTTTAGTATTGAACCCAGCATCTGAAGCATATTTCTAAAGATACCATGTTAACAATGAGTTTAAAAGTGTGTTTTGAACAGTTGCATTTCTGCCCATCCCTGGTATTGTCTCAAAC